TGCGTACTTAATGATCCTTTAAATAAAAAGTTTTTCACAACAGATGAGACTTTAGATACTGGGAATGATTTATTAAAACCTTCATCTTAAATTTATTTGTCAGAAGAAGGGGATTTCTTTCAAGAAAATATTAACCCCTGTTTAGCAAGGTCATCTTGAGGTTGAACTGTGGTTAGAAGGACCTCCCTAAAATTTGATTTAACTTGATTTATGTTTAGATACGAGCAGCGCAACACGGGTGTGATCAGGTTCGTGGTGATCATGGTGATGGTCGTGATCGCTGTCCTGGTGGTGTATCTCGGATACATGTGGGCAGAGCCTAGGTGGAAACTAAAGAAACAGACAACTTATCATGCGCAATTAGAGGAAACGGTAGGTCTTTCCATCTAGAAGGCGGAGGGGGGAGGGAGCAAGGAAGGGGGGGGGNTTCATTCATTCTGATAATTAATTTGGATAGTTTTTGAATTCCAATATATCATCATGTATGGATATATTTACCATAAAATTAACTTATTTTTTTTCTGTTGCTGGCAGGACGTCCCCCTCACGCGTTCTCATAAAAGGGTCAGATTATCTATTTGAATGTTACAGTATATATTTTGTTGAAACACCACCCCCCCCTTCATTGATTTTTTTACCCCAACAATGTATAACAAATTGGTTTGCTTCTTTTCAACAAAATTGAAGGAAATTTATGTAAGAAATATTACTTGAGGGGCGAAACGTTCTTAACACGTCCGTTAGAACTTTCCGTCCAGTATATTTGCAATTTGCATGGGTTAGGATTAAAGTATATCGTGGCAGATCAGCTGTTTTTTATTAAAGTATATCGTGGCAGATCAGCTGTTTTTTATTAAAGTATATCGTGGCAGATCAGCTGTTTTCTATTAAAGTATTTTGTGGCAGATCAGCTGTTTTTTATTTTTTAATAAAGAACCTAGATGATTAATTGAATGGTTTGTTTAACAGTTAATTGACTGGGTAATTGCTTGATTGATTGATTGCCGCAAATAATGTACTTTGTCTGTTTCTATAAAGAAGCATGAACGTTTTTTTTTCCCTTTTTTTCTTACCATCCCTGTGACTTAGAAATTAAGCTAGAAAAAGAATATCTGTTAAAATTGAAGTGCGGTATGAAATGGATACATCAGATTAGGATTATATTATAAATATTTGTTCTCTTTTTTGTTCTTCGCGCAAGTATTTATTATACTTACTCAAATCCTGAAACTGCCCATGTTCTAAAATCATTATTATAAATATAGAGTTTTAACCATGCTACGGTACCAAATATTTCTTTTTATGATTTTTATTTTTTTCATTTTTTTGGGTTATGGTTTAGCAAAACTTGAAAATCATGAAACACCTAAGATTCATGTTTTTGAAAGTCGACCTTCACGGGGAAAAAGCATGACTGGATCATTTTTTACAGAATATTTTTTGATAAAATTTAAAAGTGACAATATGGTTGTTTAGATGTCTCTGAAGGACTATGACGGTGGTATACTACAGGAGAACGGAGATCATGGATTACTGCCGGATGTGACAGCGATCACCTCCCGAACCCGACACCCTGGCCGAGCGATCCTGCATCGGGTCGGAGATCGCCAGGATCGGTGGAAGCAACAGGCAAGATTTCAGTTTAGTTTTGATTTAAGGATCCGGAATTGAAGAGTATACAGGGGTACCCACTAAGGATGAGACTGTATAATATTCCTTTGTGGGTAACCCTGTATAATATTCCTTTGTGGGTAACCCTGTATAATATTCCTTTGTGGGTAACCCTGTATAATATTCCTTTGTGGGTAACCCTGTATAATATTTCTTTGTGGGTAACCCTGTATAATATTTCTTTGTGGGTAACCCTGTATAATATTCCTGTGTGGGTAACCCTGTATAATATTCCTTTTTGGGTAACCCTGTATACTATTTCTTTGTTGGTAACCCTGTATACTATTTGCAGAAATTTAGCATAGTGATTATAGGGAAGGGGTTTAGGACCACCGTAGAAATTTCTTGTTGAGGGGGGTATGCGGGATTTATATTTCTATGAACTTTTTCTAATCGAGGATGACGGGTATATTCTTATTTTTCGAGTTGAAAATTTATTGCATTCGAGAACCATGTGACGTCATTAGCTCAGATTCAACGTACTTTGCTTTTCCCGTTCAGTTTTCAGCTAGGTTATCATTCAAAGGTTGAAAGGGTTCCGTTGTGGATTGGAAATGCCATTCTATAACTGGCGGGTCACTTAAACTGACGTTCACAGTTTTTAATTTTTAAAAAAAAATTTATGTTTGCCAGGTTGAAGTTCAGAGGAAGAAAATTTACCAGGATCATTCAATTCTAAACTAGAACCTTCTACACAACACGATTCTAGTTGACAAGGGGAGGAGACACGAGTCACTTAATTCGATTCAAATTAAATCAAGTCGATCCACGTCGATCCAAGTCGATCCAAGTCGATTCAAGTCGATTCAAGTCAATTCAAGTCGATTTTCAAGTCGATTTTCAAGTCGATTCAAGTCGATTCAAGTAGGTTTTCAAGTCGATTTAAGTTGAGACGAATTGAGACATGTCGATAATTAAGTCGATTCAAATTCAAGTCGATTTAAGTTGGATTTTCAAGTCGATCCATTTCGTGACATGTTGATTGTGAATTCATGTCAATTTTAGTCGATTCAAGTAGATTTAAGCCGGTAACTGTGTTGACTTAAATCAGCAGAAGTCGATTCAAGCTGATGCATGTCAATTCAAGTCGACGTAAATCTACTTGCAGTCAAAATCTTTTAATCTTCCTTCCCGTATTTCTTCCAACTTTAAAAGTATATATTCAAGGCCTGTTCATTTAGGTCCCTTTCTATCTACCTCCTCTTTTATATTTTATATGTAGAGGTGTATATTTTTAAAATGTACACCCCCCATCACCACCAAAAGGCAAGTTTTTTCATTCTTTTTGATACTTTTCACTCAAAAAATGTGTTATTTTCCATGAAAATAAATTTAATTTTCCCAATTCAGCAAAAAAAAACTCTAAAAAAGTTTTGCACTCTGCGAAACCATATATAACTTATGGGAAAAAATAATTTTCAAGATTAACGATTTTTAGGAGAATATACACCCCTGTTTTTGTGTTTATCATTTCCTTTCAACCAGTCTTTGTATTCATATTATTTAATGTATCCTTGTCTACTCTGCATCAAAATATTGGTGAAAACATTAATACGCAATATGTAGCTAGTTCTGAAAACTTGGGAAGATTTTGATAAATGTCGTCGTTTCACCCATCTAGTCAACCAGTAGTTCTAATAGTGTTAGTGGGTTTTCGATTGAGCTATTTACATTTTAATTTTATTTTATACATTTTATTGAAAAATCCCTCTCCATCTTCTTGATTATACTTTCTATAGTTTATTACAGGCAAAAACATCGGTTTTTAACGTTAAATTATGATATGAATGATTTTTATGGGAAAAACGAGTAACTGTCAGTGAATGTTCAATATTTTTCCTAATTCTCAGAAAAATTATTTCTCCAGACGTTATCTTGAATTGTTTTAAATGTCAAAGTTACCAAAGTCTCTTCGCCTACCAATATTTTTACCTTTCTTTATTATTTTGAGTTTGTTTGAAGAATAAGTTAGTGCAGAGAAGTGTGACTGTTAACGACGACTTTCAAGCATTGTTTCAGTATTTCAGTGTTCTGAACACCCTGTATCCAATTATAATTTTAAATATTTTGATCATTTGTAATTTTATCAATCCTAGTTGTGACGATAATATATATTCTATTTTATGGTTTGTATAATGGTTACAAGGTAATTTGTGGATTTTTTCCCAATCACTCTAATCTCTTATCTCCCGTACGATTCACCCTTAAATTTTTTACTATTTTAACACAATCTATGAACATAAAAATATATTTTAAAGGGACTTTAAGTGTAATAATGGGTTTCAATTCATAAAATATCAAATATTAGGTTCTGTAAACAATAATAATTTATAATTTTTGTGTATTTCAATTTATTACTTGTGTTTTTACTTATATTCTTCTTCGCACAAAATAAAGAAATTATTCTATTTAATTTATTAATGAATTGAAATTTTACAGAAAAATGTATTATTTATATTTTACCACCAGTTTTAATGAATGTCACTAATATAACATGTAATAACTAGTTGTTTCAATACATTGATCTCAAAATTATTTTGCAATTTATTCTTTTTTTAACAACGAGAATCTGAAAGCAGTTTCATTAAAAAATTTTACAATGAGAACCAGAAATAAGTGGAATTTTTGTTATCTTCTTTTTTCTAGAAAAAAAACTATTTCTAAAATTAGATTTGTTATTAAAGAGATTTATTCAAAAATTTTAATCATATGTTAAAGAAAGATTTGTGACTTTCTTCTTATGATCCAAAATGTGATAAGTTTATAGTGATTTTATTCACAAATTTAACTTAGAAATTTTAAGTTTCAAGCAAAGAATTTTAAAACTTTGAACATCAAATAGTGTCTATAGAGAGGGACCGTTTCTTTCCGCTCAAATTCTGAACGAAAAATCGGCTTTTTCTCCGGCCACAGTTGTCTTTGAAAAGTAAGACTATTACCAATCAACAGCGCATAGGCTGTTTAGTTCACCCTGAAATTATCCAAATAAGTGAACGGTCCCTTTAATTTTTTTTTTGCTGTGGATCTTTTTACTGTATTTCAGATAAAGATGTAAATTAATTTCGAGGTTTATGCATATTGCGTAAAGATACTTCTAATAAATGCGTATTAGAGAAATTGCACATTTTTTCATATGGAAGCAATATAATGTTTTAAGTGAACTTAAGCATTTTTTTTTCTAATCACAACAATAATTGACCAGAGGGCATCCTCGACTGTCTAAGTCCTCAACTGTGTACGTCCTCGAATGTGTATGTCCTAATTATCTATATTATTTAAGAACCTAACGAGGAAATTTGGCATAATCTCAAATAAATTAAATTGTACAAATAAAAAAACAGCATCAATTCTGATTATTTCTCTATTGTTTTTAAGCATGAAGTGTGCAAGCCAGTTTTGCATGAAACCACAAATGAAAATAAATAGTTATGAAGAATAAAACTATGGATAACTAAATCAAAAGATTTATCAGACAGTCTCTTTAAATTATCACTATGACTACCTTACTTGTCCTATCTGTTTAATGATTGGTGTCACATGTCCTACTCCTATCTGTTTGATGATTGGTGTCACATGTCCTATCTGTAATGATTGGTGTCACATGTCCTATCTGTGTAATGATTGGTGTCACATTGGCTATCTGTGTAATGATTTGTGGCACATGTCCTATCTGTGTAATGATTGGTGGCACATGTCCTATCTGTGTAATGATTGGTGTCACATGTGTGTGTAATGATTGGTGGCACATGTCCTATCTATGTAATGATTGGTGTCACATATCCTATCTGTGTAATGATTGGTGTCACATGTCCTATCTGTGTAATGATTGGTGGCACATGTCCTATCTGTTTAATGATAGGTGTCACATGTCCTATCTGTGTAATGATTGGTGGCATATGTCCTATCTTTGTAGTGATTGGTGGCACATGTCCTATCTGTGTAATGATTGGTGGCACATGTCCTATCTGTGTAGTGATTGGTGGCACATGTCCTATCTGTGTAATGATTGGTGGCACATGTCCTATCTGTGTAATGATTGGTGGCACATGTCCTATCTGTGTAATGATTGGTGGCTTATCAAAACTTAAATCTTATCAAACTCAAATGTTCACTTGTGAAGAGGTCATATGCCCGTGTGCTGGCTTCCCGCCCCTTCTCCAGAGAAGCTTTATTAATGTTGGTAGATGAGTCTGCTGAGAGTATCTGAGGCGTATTCAGGGGGGGTGGCATGGGTGGCTCAGCCCCCACCCCCTGAGTCAGTGAACTCTATAGTTTTTGGTTATTTTTGCCACAAAGAAGGGTGTTGAGGCCCTCCCTCGAAAGAAACAATTTGTAAGCCCCCGCCTTAGACAAAATTCACCAATACGCCCCTGGAGCGGTTTTTCTTTTATTAGTTTGTAAAACCAATTCGCGAAACTCGAGAAAAAGCATTTATCTGTAATTGGTAATATTCTGACAGGATAACTTTATTTTAGGTATCAAGCAGACTCTTTAAAAGTGTCCACACTGAATATCGATATTATGCGTTCAACAATGTCCAAACATAAACTCAGATAGCTGTGTGTAATAACCAGAAAACAATGGAATAGGAAGACGACATGACAGCAATACTCAAGTGTATTTGATGTTGTTACAAGGCAAATTATATTTTACCAATAATTTAGTGAAATTGGTCTGATTACAATACACAATTGCCGTGTCTCCTGCTCATTAAGACCACAACTGATTCTAAAAGTCGTCTTTCCATTTCAGAGTTTTATGGTTATTACTGTAATAAACCACTTAGCAAAGTAAATTTGAGCATTTTAAGTTTCAATATGGGAGTGTTATGGTTAATCCTGGGGATTATAGTCTTTTTAACCAGAACAGAGGTAAGCATATTTTATAGGCATAATTTCAAGTGACACTCCATGCAAAGATATTAACGCCCGATTCACAAATGTATCATTAAAACCATTTGATCAATAATGTGGAAGATGTTGTCCATTCTTGAGGTTTAAATTGTTTTTAACATTCGAAACATTCATATGTAATTGTAATTCATTCTCAATCAAGCAAAGCTTTTAAGGGTACCCTTGTGAATCGGACATTGCCATCTTGCATTTTCATTATACAAGTTGTATGTCTACTAAAGTTTGGGGGGAGAGAGTATGTGTACATATTTGACTGAGACGAATTTGGAACCTGCATTTTTATCAAAACAATAATAAATTATAAAAAAGTGGGACTTTTCGAAAAGGAAATATAGGTTACTAACAGTTCATTTGCCTTTAACTAATTCCTGAGCAATCCTGTATACGCCCCTGTAGAGTTAATAATCATTATCTTCAGGGTATCAGAGCCAGATCGAATATTCTTCTATTTCTGACAGATGATCAGGATGTATTCTTGGATGGAATGGAACCATTACAAAAAACCAAGGTTTATTTCACTAATTTGAAAATATAAATTGTTATAATTGTTATTGTTTAAAAATTGTTAGAATTGTTACTGTTTAGATATTATTATAATTGTTATTGTTTAGAAGATTTTATTGTTCAGAAATTGTTACTGTTTCGATATTGTTATAATTTTTTTGTTTAAAAATTGTTATAATTGTTAATGTTTGATATTGTTATAATTGTTATTGTTTAAATATTGATATAATTGTTATTGTTTAGAAATTGCTTCAATTGTTATTGTTTAGAAATTGTTATAATTGTTATTGTTTAGAAATTGTTATTGTTTAGATATTGTTATAACTGTTTTTGTTTAGAAATTATTAGCTGAAAAGGGAATAACATTTTCGAATGCTTTTGCAACCACTCCTGTGTGTTGCCCTTCCAGGTATTAATGGGACTGTTAATGTGTAATATTGAGTCACTCTTCATGAAAATATGACAATAGTTCCTTAAAAACCTTTGTCTGATTAATAATGTGATAGATATTGTCGTTTTTTGGGGGGTTTTATTTTGATAATTCCCAGTTGTTTTCCTTCAGTAGAAATGCGCTTGAAAGTTTGGGAAATTTTTTTCTTTATTTTATTTTGATGAAACAATCTTTCCGCTGGATAGAATATAGAGAAAGATTTATCTTTTGAAGAAAAAAAATTGGTTTGGCTTTATATACACGTCAAAGTGGCTGAATCATTGGGTCCCAACTGTTAATGGCAACTCACATTACCACAGGGAAGCTAGCTCGAATATATGCTTTACAAGTTTTTTTTTAAATCCACAAATTTAAAAATAAAATCCGCATTTTCTTAAATTCTCAATTTAACAGCTAGAATATGAGTTAATTGCCGTTTTTATAAGATTAGCAAATGATTGCTGCCTTTAAAAAAGATGATTCAACAAATTTTTTTTTTTCAGAGCAAGTCTTCTAACTGGAAAATATCCTCACAATACTGAAACTATCAACAACACTGTGGCTGGAAATTGTGGAGGACAGGTGCAGTCAAAATATACTTTTAATAAAGGGGTATTTATTCTCAAGAATTAAACATTAAAAGTTTTTTCCATTTTTTATTTCCATTGTCTGATCAAGGATGCATTCGACGATAGAAATACTTATTTGTCTTGTTGAAAAATGACTATTTGAAATTATGATTTTTTTTAAAGTGAATTGCGCAATTATGCTTCTAATAAAGTAAAGAAAATCAACAGAATTTGACACCTTTTAGACAGAAAATGAACATTTATTTTCTATTGTTGCTTAGACAATGTTGTGAATTTAAAATTCCCTCTAATTCTCTTTAGCTTACAAAAATTTGCTTTAAAGAAAAAATATAAAGAACTAGGCTTTTAGAGCGCTTCACACCCATTGTCTATTTCAAATTGTGAACATTTTCTCTATGTATGCAATGAAAAACAAAACCTAAAAAAGTTTGCGGATTTAAAAAACAATTCGTGGATTTTCAAATTTAATGAAAATCAAACTTTTTGGAGGCAAATTTTTGAAATTTTGATCATTCATAAAACTTCCCTGGCTGGGGTCATGTGAGGTCAAACACAAAATTTGGGCCTGATCAGTTCAGCCATTTTGACGTTTATTGGATACTGTAATAAAAAACCCCATTTCATTTTTATCTTTGTAACCCGTAAATATACATTATTTAGTTCATTGACCCTATTTGCGGTCAACATATTTACCTGTACCTTTTTATATCTAAGTATAGACAGTTCAACACAGACTCATGTTATTTACGGATCATATATACCTGGATAGGTAGAGAGGATAGAGTTTGTGATAGATTAAAACAGCGTATTTAGGCTGATAAAGACTAAGGAGGGGTTTAGGCATTTTCTACAGATACAAAGGGACAGACAGACAGACAAACATACAAGCAAGGTAATTATAAAGATTGTTCTAAAGGAGTAAAATATTGTTTAGTATTGGAGAACTAATGGGGAGATGAATACATTTGCTTCTATTCTACAGAAATCAGGTTTCACTGTTAACTTGTTAAAAAAGTGTCAATTAAACATAATGATGTTTTTAAAAAAAGAATTTATGTGAATCCAATTTAATTTGTTATGATTCATGCAAACATAATGTATTCACCAAAAAAAGTTGTTATTTCTAATTTCAAAAAAAATGTTTTTTTTAAAAAAGATTTTATCGAATATCTCAAAGTAGTTCGTTTTCAATCAAAAATAATGATGTTTTGAATGTTTTTTTGTTACTTAAAAGAAAAAATGTTTCTCAAAATCTGTCAAAGTTTTTTACAAAACTCTTGTAATTTTGAAACAATCAGCCTGAAATTTCTAGTCTTTTAGTATAAAATTATACAAAAGACTTTTTTTGCGCACAAGGGATATAAATTTATTTTTCAAAGAGCCATAGGTTTTCACAGAGAAAACTGAAATTTTAGCTCTTAACCCTTTAAACCTTCGACAGATCAAGGATGTACTGGCCCAACCCTATCCTGTGCCAGCTTTGTTTAAACTTTTGTGGCGCGGCAATACTTTTTACAGTACCCAGCCTATCATAGGCATATTTGACCTACCCTATTAGCTTCGTCTAGTGTACTGGGTCCTACTCAACCTATTGTTGTAGGGTATGAGACTATGTATGCTGGAAAGTATATGAACCAGTATGGTACTCCAGAAGCTGGAGGGATTCACCAGGTGAAAGTAGTTGATCATTTTGTATCAAGGGCTGGGTGGACATTTTTTAAAAATTGTCGGTTAATGGTTAGTTAAAATAATGAAAAAGACCAACTTTTAAGGTTCATTCTTAGAACTGAACTTTAATGATCCATAGATATTTTACAAAAATTGTTAACCGTTAACGATTATTTAATGTATTGATGGTATGGTTTGTAGCGAACGAAACCTTTCGCGAAAAACTGAAAAAATGTTCGTTTGTATTTTGCAAACTTTTTGCGAAATTGAATGAAGCAAAAAATGCAAAAAAATATTTTACGAAAAATTCACATTTTGCAAAAGCATTTTCGCAAAAACCAAGGGTGTTGAAGCTGTATTTAGTCTTTTTTGCATTTTTTGTAAGCGAATGAAATGCCAAAAATTACAAATTTTTATGAAAAATGCGAAATTTTCGCGAAACAAAATTTTCTTTTCACTGCAAATCCTGGTTAATGGTGCTAGAATCTAATTTATACTTAGTATTGCCAGAATGAACTTTACTATTATTTTTAAAACGCATCCGTTTGTTCTTCTTTTCCCCTGTTTTTAACAGTTATTTTTGGTTGTTCATGATCATTAATGGGTTTTGCCATGTTACTAAAATCTTCCATTATTTTGTTTAAATCCTGCAGTTTCTTGATGGAACATTACCCAGCCCTTCATTTTTCACCTCTGCCCAACTTCAATAATCCAAAGAGGGGAAATTGAAAAGAAATGTTAAACAACTTTGTCCCAATGATAGCTTCAAATATTGAAACTGAGAATCGAAACAACAAACCATATTTTATCTTTAAAAGAAAGACAGTGTTTTTGTCCATTTTCCCATTATATTTAGGTTTAACATATGTCAAAATTGCAGACCTTGACTCTGATTTTTCAAAATATTTATACTCATTAATTCAAGTCAACATTTTCTAAAATTCATTAAAGCAAACTGTCTAAGCCAAGAAACCTTGAATTTTAGAAGAAAAGACTGTCCTTAGCTGCAAATACAGTGCATTATATTTGTTACTGAAGACTGTTAAAATAGGTTCCAGTTGGTTGGAGTCAATGGAATGGTTTGCAAGGAAATTCAAGGTGTTAACAATTAGAATTTAAATTTTTTTCATATGTTTTCTGGGATTACATTTTTAAAGTGGGGGGGGGGAGGACAAGTATATAGAATTTGTATGATAAAAAACAGTTTTTATTCCTACAAAGCCCGGAGTTTCATGCTGGAAATGCTTGTATTCAGAAAGTAATATCAGATAAAAAATGTAGCAATTAAATCATAAACTCTATGTATACCGTTTAAACTGAAACGTTTTTGTCAATAATTGCAAATAAAATTTTAGGAATATATAAAATTGTGATATATTCCTTATACTCTTTAAATTGAAAGAAGATAATTCTAAAAACACTTCTATTTCTAACAAAATGTTTTGCTAACATTGTTTACTTGACATGTATGTGTTACTCAATGCTCAAGGAAAACATTTTAGATATTACAATTACAAACTATCCATCAATGGTGTGGAAGAAAGTCATGGGGAAGATTATGAGGTATTTATTATTCTGACATTTAAAATCATTTGCTTTTCCTATTTTATCAAAAGAAACTTTAATTTATGTTTCTGTTGCAATTATATCAGGGGGTTTGGGGATTTTTGAAAAAAATATACACCCCTGACCTGAGTTTTAAACAAATTTTTTAAAGATCTAAATACTTATTGACTATATCATGGTCGAATTATTTATTATCACAGAAAACAAATCGATTTTTTGTAAAATCATGCTTAATCTGGACCCTAATAATTTCATCTTTTTTATGCTCTTTGAGGAAAGAAAATTCTACATCAAGTGTGTGCAGTGGACCAGGGTTCATTAGGAAAAAGTTCTGTATTGTCAAGAATGGTTTTTTCATCAAGTACATTTTCAGCTGATTTGAATTCTACTAGGGCATGATACACCAGCTGTATCTTTGGATCATAACTATTTTGTTTATTTCACCATGAGGTTTACAGATTTAGTAAATTAAGAAAGTGTTGAATGAAGTGAATTCCTATCCTTCAAGAATAGTTAGAATAGTTAGAAGATAAATTCGCACCCTGATCTCTAATCGTTCTTCTTAAATCTATTTAATTGAAATGTTATGTTATTATTATTGAAATTAGGTGGAAAAAATAATCAAAACAGCCAAGAGCTATTTTCCACCTAATTGCTTTATACTTGTACTGTTAATATAATCATCAATTTTTAATTGTAAACTCTTTCTGTATACAGATACATGTATTTTAGCAATAACTTTATCTTATCTTATCTTATCTTAGAAATAAGATAGTATTTAGGTTTGTAATAACTGAGATTTTGGCTGGGGGTTTTATTCCTCTTTTCCCACCTAATTGCTTTATACGTTTACTGTTAATATAATCATCAATTTTTAATTGTAAACTCTTTCTGTATACAGATACATGTAGTTTAGCAATAAACCTTATCTTATCTTATCTTATCTTAGAAATAAGATAGTATTTAGGTTTGTAATAACTGAGATTTTGGCTGGGGGGTTTTATTCCTCTAGGGGCTATGAATGGACTGCACATTCTGTACTTTAGACCAGGGGTCACATACTAGCCTTATATACATGGCAGGACATTCAACACTCTTTACTAGATTTGAGGGCCTGAGTGCCAATTAAGTTGCAGTCTTGTAAAAATAAGGGGCCCTCACAAACTGGGTTATCATTAGATCCCTGGGGTTTCTTGAGTTTTTCTCCTCTTTCTTCTCTTATGGGACTGGGACTGTGTCTGGGGTCCAGGGTTTTTTTGAAAATGAGAAGTACTCATTTCCTCCTTTACTCCACAGGTTAAATTTGACCTTGAGTCCAGCTTTTACACAGTTATATTCATTTATGATGAGTTGAAGACTGATTACAAAGATTCCTGGTCCCGCCATTTTATTCAGCTGATAGGGGGTCAACAGGGTTAGGAAGGGTTTAGGTGCTCACAGTTCAGTGTCGGGGGAACTGCATTAAAAATAAAAATATGAAGTGACAAGAAAAGTTGGATATTAATTAGATAAATAGCTAGATATTTTTTAGCTCACAAATCACAATAAATACATTTAAAAATTTATAGTTTATAAATAAATTGTTACTAGCCACAAGCAAGGGCTACAGCCTAACCATGTTCTGGTAGTTTTGATTGGCTGGTTCTCTAAAGTTTAATACATATATTTTATTTTTGGAAATTAACAGACCACATAGGAAAAAAGAAGGAAGGAAACAAAAAGTAGTGAATTTTTAGGGAAAGGTATAGTAGTGTAGAGGGAAAAGGAAGGAAGGGAGAAACCCCAGCATCAACAAATCCAATTTTTGACAGAGTGGGTTTCCAGACTTATAAATTATATGAGAAGCATTTCTTGTTTTATATTTAAATTCCTTATATTTAGAAGACAGATGTTTTTTCAAATTCGTTTTAAAATTGAACAATAAACATTAACTATTTGTTATCTGTATCAAAATGACACCTAAAAACATAATTAAAAAAGTGATTTAAATTGATTTATTTCAAATGTGATTTTTTCAGGTACCTTACAGGACACAACCTAGCAAAGTTTAACTATTTCGATTTAAAATTTTTTTCAGACTGACTATCTTACTGATGTTATTGGAAGAAAAGCAGAAGGGTTTCTAAATTCATGGAACAAGGAAGAGAAAATCAAAGAAAAAAAATTAGTTTTTATTCTGTAAATAGCTTAAGAGGATTAAGTCGGAATATGATTTGGATTTGAAAACAAATTTTAGCTTATTATTATCAGAGTATGATAGTAAATGATAAAACTTTTATCATATTTAAAGAAGCTTATATGCTTAAATTCATGATTATCTTCAGAGCTCTCCTTTCCTGATGGTTCTTGCTACTCCAGCTAGCCATGCACCCTTCACCCCTGCACCTCAGGCAAAGTCTTTTACAATTTGTTACACCTTGCTTCTTATGTTCAGGATAAAATTTCAACCCACATTCCACTGAAGTTAACTTGCATGCAATAAGCTCTTTAATTCTAAGCAATTCCGCACAATTCTGCGTAGCTCCCCAAAATAAAAATCTGTGTGAAAACCTTACTTCCAGTGCCATTGATTATTAAGTAGGAACCTTTAGACATGATACTTACTGACTAAGATGGAAACAAATGCACCATTCACAGCTGCTCCTCAGGCTAAGATTTCTTATTGTTACACCTTGCTTCTTATCTTTTAGTTAAAATTACTTTTCATCCCTCTGAGTTAGGGTTTCCAACTCAAGTGGAGTTAACTTGCATGCTTTTGTAAGCGTTTTAGTTCCGTTCATTTTCAGGCAATTTCAAGCAGTTCCGCGCATTTCTGCACGATTCTTTGCAGTTTTGGGCATTTCTGCACAATTCTGTTCAATTCTGTGCAGTGAAATTTAGTTTGGCAGCCCTACTTTCAGTGCAATTTATTTTTTAATAGTAACCTTTTAAACCTAATAACTGGAATTGTATCCAATCTGCTCTTTACGCTGAAGTCACTAAGATTAGTAAAGACAAATGTTTGATTTGCTCTGTGTAAAATTGGACTAAGTCTGTGTTTGTTTAGTATAAAGATAATTATGCTAACTTGACAGCCCCTCAAATTCCATCCTACAATCAGCAACCTGGCAGCTCAAAGGTAAATATTAAATCAATTCAATAAAAATAATCTTAATTTTAGCATGCCACAGGCCACTACTAGATGGTGATGGGCAAGAGCAAGATTTGTTTTTCAAACTTTTTTAAGGTGTTTGAACTGATAAACAAGACCACATAAATGAATTTAAAAACTTATTCTGTAAAAATTTGTTAAATCTATGCAAAATTGTTACCCAAAAAGAACACAATTATGTAAAAAACTACCGTTTTTGGTCTGTTTCTTGCATATATCTTCTCCCAGGGTTAATATTTGGCATAGCGTAACAAAGGCAAATGTTTAGAAGAAAAAAATCTATTTTGAAGTTTTATAAACCTCTAAGATATTTGTGGAACATTTAAAAGTACAAAAATCTAAAAAGTTTTTTTGAAAGCAATTCTTGCTGTTGCCTATTAGTACCACTAGTTCTGTGTAGTTTTCAGGGCTTAGATTTATTTTCACTTCACACTTTAATTTTATGATTGACCCAGAAAATTGTAAATATTTGTGAAAATTAAATTTTTTATGAATATGTACATTGTACAATAGGAAACCCTTCTGTCACAATTCCTTTTTTCCCTTTTTTAATGAAAACAAGTTTTTTGGGATGATATTTTTATTATCAAATGATGACATATAGATAAATCATAGACCTGTAGACCAATATGTCAACCCAAATTTTAAGACCATCATGCAAAAAGTATGAAAATTATTATGTGTTTAAATGTCTATTGAAAACTAGCTGAAGGGCTCGGCATTGTCCATGGAAATTGAAATTTGAAAGTAAAAAAAATTTCGATTTTTTAAAAAATTCAGTCCATTCCGTCCAGCTGTTTGGCCGGCTATAGGCAACAATATATATGAATGTCTTGTTTTATTATATAGAAGATAAATAGATGAACTAAGGTTACATTTTATTATGATTTTTTTATTGTTATCTTTACAGTCATTGGTTTTTAAACATCAAGCATAGGATTACTACATCTGTACGCTAAACAGTCTATATTTAATAATTTAATAAATCTGGAACTTGTACTGGGTCCAGTAAATGGGTCAGGCATAGATTGGACCTCTGTGCCCTACTGTCTTCTTTTGTTTCTAGGTTAAAATTATACACAACAGATATTTTGCAAACATTATGATAAATGATAGGTATTAAAATTTTTGCTTAACAGATTCAAAGCATGCAGAGCATCATAACTGCACAGTCCAAGTTTGGAATGAGTTACAAAATTTGACAAAAATGAAGCTTTTAAAGTTTGTTCAAAATTTTGCGGATAGCAGATAAAGGCAAACACCGGATGGGAGAGGAGAGTGCGCCCAAGAATTCATTATAGAGTACCGAGAAAAGAAAGCAAGATTCTCAGCTAGTTCAATTAAATACAGGGTTCAGAAAAAGAGAAAGATTCTTTAAAAATAGTTCTTTCTTGTAAAGTGGCGAAATAAAAGGACATCAAATAAAAAGTGCTTTTTTTTCTTTTTAAAATTTGCCGAAATATAATTGAAAGATGCACAATCAAGAAAAAAATGAAGAACAATATAAATAAATATTTAAAAATATTGTAAATTTAATTAAAATAAATTATTAAAGTTAAAAAAGTTTAGAAAATTAAAAACTCCAGATTATGTAAGTCACTATCAAAGGCTTATATTTGTTTGAAAACATAAGACTTTGTATTTAAGTGAACAGATTATATATTTGTTTTACATAGCTTAACACTTGTTCATCGAAAAGAACTAGTATGACTGGCAAAACCAAAACAAACATTAGAGTAGCAACAGAAATTAGATTAATTGGAGATTCATTCATATTTCTAATGTCAAACTTTAGCAGTAAATTGATAATGATTGTAACTATAAGAAAGTTCGCTACTAAAGTGAATGTTGAAGTTCTGAGGATGAAATCTTTCATTTGCTTGATCAGTGTTTTCTGGAGAACAGTCACCGGAGCCTTCAGAGGAGCAATCTCTTGGTTTCTTACAGATCCCTTCATAACATGAAGATCAGATGCCTTCAGGGTGTTTCTTCGTTTCATTTTGACCTGAGCAACAGGTACTTTTAGATCTCCAGTTGAGCATGATCTTTTCAGGCTTTGAGATGGTTTTATGTCCTTCTTACCCTGGGTATTCAATGGTGGAAGATGGTTTGCTGCCCTCGCTGATAGGGGTGCAGTGTGTTTTATCTTTTTCAGTAACCTCTTCAGAAAGATTCCAAGTTTGGCAATTTCTAATAAGCAGGATAGAGATAGAAAGACGACAGGGTAGTTAACTTCAAAACATTGTAAAACATCCTTCTGGTTGTTCAAAGTTGAAAGAGGGGTACTTGATGGCTGCCATGCAATTCCCAGTTCTATTCTGACAAGCAATACACTAATAGTTTGGTAGAACTTTGAGTAGGTTAACATGCATCTGACATGATTTATCAGTAGTTCAGAAAAAGCCACCATGATGATAAATCCGACAGAGCATCTCAAACAGGTTTTTCTGTTGATGTTTTGGAATCTTGCCGGACTAGCAATCAAAAGAAGTCTAGCCAAAGACAATGTGAACATTGAAGTGCTTAAAGCACTGCCAATCGGTAGACGATTCAACACATACTTGGCTACTTCTGGGAACTCCAAGAAGAATGTAGTTAGCTGATCATGAAATACATTTGTCAAAACACTTGCTGTAAATATCTGAATTGTGCCGAGTTCCTGGAGGACGAGAAAGAGTATGCAGAGTCCCGTAATGATAGTTTGCTGGGTACTTTTTAGAAGAAAGACTTGAATGATCGCACAGGATGAGAAGGATAGTATTGAACACACTACATCTACAATAAGTGTGTATAAATGTGGTGTTTGTGGTTTAAATATTACAAAGCAGCTGTAAAATCCAGTGAATACCCAGATTCCAAGTTTTTCAAAATTCATGATACCCTTATTTGTTATTCATGGCTTCTAACTAGATTTTCTCTCATGTTTATGTCACACCATTTTTGAAAAAAGGTGTTTCTAATTCAAGCTTCTTCTCTTTTCTGAGAGAAGAATTCTGACTCTGATGTTTGCCATGATTTCTCTGTGGTTACTTATGTTGCTATGCAACGGAGGGGCCTCTCTTTTTATATCCACGCAACAAATGAACTACTTGAGCGAATGGTGCTATCCACCAGAACATGGTTGGTTAAATTTGTTAAGGTTATAATAATAATGTTTGAATGAGATTTTTAATTTTATATTTTAACATTAGTGAAATAGATCAGAAAAATGTTGAAACCCTGAATTGGGTATGAAAATACAAATCGCCATAATCAATTTTTTTATCAGATAAAATTACAAATTGTCCACTTAGGTTAAATTTAATCTTAAAATAATAATATATAATAATGATAGAAAACCTGTTCAAACCAGATATTTTCCTTTACAAAAAACTAAACAATGTTCCAACAACAAAATCTTTTGATCATTTAATAAATGGAATAGCTAATTATTAAAACTCTTTCATGCTTTCATTCTGTTAACATCAAATTTCTATTTAAAGGGACTGCAAAGGAAAAATGAAAGCGGGTATAGGCTGAAAGCTAATCACTTTAGCTCTCGATCGTGACCCACAAAAGTTATATCTGATGTTCCTATCTTGAGAAATTGATATACAACTTTGTCAAATTTATATGAAAATTTATATATATACAATTTTGTATAAAAGTAGTGGGTTTAGATAGATCAAATTCAGCAAGTAAGCAACCAATTTGAAAACGATGATATCTCAGAGAAAGCTATTTGTAACTTACGTTTACTCCAATTCTAATTTTATATTTTTTATTTCTATTTTTAATAGATTTAATTCATAATATTATTTATAAGTCCGTATTACTTGACCAGAAATTCCACCAATGGCAGTGCAGTAAAGTGGTCACGTGATACAGGCGGAGACACGTGACCAGTATACTGCTCTGCCATTGATGATAGTTCTGGTCACGTAATTTAAGTTTCAGAGTTTCAAAATGTTACATACAGTGAAACCCTTAATAACGAATACATCGAAAGAATTCATCAAATGTCGTATTCTTAACTTTCTGACATTGGTATGTTGCAGACACTTAGTTTTTTAATTAAATGATTATATGGAACTCTTTAAAACTGTTCCCGCATATTCATGGTTATTTATTTATTTTTGCGAATACTGAAATTTACATAATGTAGTATAAAACTCATTGAAAAATTGTCAAGACGACATTTGATAAAGTTTTCCGATGTATTCGTTATTAAGGTTTTAATGGTATATTAATTTTCGTAGGATTTTAACACAGTTTTATATCAATTTCTCGAGACAGGAACATCAGATAAAACTTTCATGGGTCGCGATCAAGAGCTAAAGTGATTAGTTTTCAGCCTATACCCCCTTTCATTTTTCCTTTACAGTCCCTTTAAGCTGAATTAAATTTGCTTAAAGTGACAAGAAACTTTATTTGGGTATTCATATAACTCTAAGATTTAAGTTCTGTGAAATTTTATAGAAGCAAAAACTCAATTTATTTATTCATTTGGAATATTTTTGTCAATAATTAGGAATGTTAGATTAGTTTGGCTCCTCTTTGTTTCAAAAAAATGGCGAAAATACACAATTTTTAAAATTCAATTCAAAACACGATCAAGAAACAGAAAAGATTCTAAGTTATAAGAAAAAAGTTTAATATGTCAATCTTATTATTTGTTGATTTAAGTTCCAAAAACAAATAGATCTTAAAAGATTTGATGTCAATTGGTGATGAAAGTTGACTTCGAAACAAAAGGCATCAGTCAAAATTTCATTAACAGTCCCTTTAATTCAGCACTGGTTCCTGCGCACAGAGCCCCAGATACTTTCTAAATCTGTCAGGTAAACCCACATAATTCCATAGTACTATGAAAAGTTACATCAAGTGTACTCAATCACTGTCAACCCGAGTCATTTCAAGTATCAAATTTTAAGCGCTGTACAGCACAGACTGTATAAGGAAATTGAATGATCAATTTCGAGTATCAAATTTTAAGCGCTGTACAGCACAGACTGTATAAGAAAATTGAATGATCAATTTCGAGTATCAAATTTTAAGCGCTGTACAGCACATACTGTATAAGGAAGATGAATGATCCATTTCGAGTATCAAATTTTAAGCAGCAAGACCAAGCTGTACAGCACAGACTGTATAAGGAAGATGAATGATCAATTTCAAGTATCAAATTTTAAGCAGCTAGACCAAGCTGTGCAGCACGGACTGTATAAGGAAAATGAATGATCAATTTCGAGTATCAAATTTTAAGCAGCTAGACCAAGCTGTGCAGCACAGACTGTACAAGGAAAATGAATGATCAATTTCGAGTATCAGATTTTAAGCAGCTAGACCATGCTGTGCACCACAGACTATATAAGGAAAATAAATGATCAGTTTCGAGTATCAAATTTTAAGCAGCTAGACCAAGCTCTACAGCACAGACTATATAAGGCAAATGATTGATTCAATTCAAGTATCAAATAAATTTTAAGCAGCTAGACCAAGCTATACAGCACAGACTGTATAAGGAAATTGAATGATCCATTTCAAGTATCAAATTTTAAGCAGCTAGACCAAGCTGTACAACACAGACTATATAAGGCAAATGATTCATGATTGATCAATTTCGAGTATCAAATTTTAAGCAGCTAGACCAAGAGCTGTACAACACAGACTATATAAGGGAAATGAATGATCCATTTCAAGTATCAAATTTTAAGCAGCTAGACCAAGCTGTACAGCACTGTTACGCGAGCCATGCTGTGTGTATAAAGTCTGCTTGTCACCCCTGTGTATTTCTGAGTTCTCCCTGAAGATCTGTTCGGAATGTATTGTGAAAGAACTAGAAAATGAATGATCAATTTCGAGTATCAAATTTTAAGCAGCTAGACCAAGCTGTGCAGCACAGACTATATAAGGAAAATGAATGATCAATTTCAAGTATCAAATTTTAAGCAGCTAGACCAAGCTGTACAGCACAGACTATATAAGCCAAATGAATGATCCATTTCAAGTGAAATTTATTTGCAATGCCCTGGTTTTTTATTTTGCTTTACTCACTCACTTTATACTTATTTATAGCACTAGACATGTATACATTTTAGAACTAAAAAGTACATATTTTATAGTTCTAGTTTTTAAGAAATTGGTATTAAACTTTTATAGATTTTTGCGTGAGATCTTGCAACCTTTGGATCAATGTGAACTAAGATTTCAGAAAGACTAATTATTTTTGATGCTGTTATGAAGCAAATAGTTTTTAAATCAATTTATTAAGTGAAATACTGGTTTTCATGTTCATCAGACTATTTAAATCTATAAAAAATAACAGTTCTCTTCCTATTCCACAGTATTCCAGGTCTCACTGTACTAAATCAAATTCAATTTCATAGATTTGTGTTTCTAATCTTGGCTTTACTTTAGGGATTCCATTGATATGGTTTACAGGAATAGATGGAGAACATTACTATCTGTTGATGATCTTGTGAGTAAAACAATTCATCATCTTCAAGATATAGGTAACAAAAGATAATAGCTGAGACTTTAGGCGGACCTTAATCTTTGATGCCATTTTTCATCTTTTTCATATATTTTGTTTTTGTACAGTCATCGTCGTATATAGCAATACAATGAAGACGACTTATATTTTAATGTTTTATTTCCATCAAGCTTTTAAAACATCATGGATACACATAAACATGGAAAACTGTAAACTTGTAGATTGAGAAATCTTATTAGAAATCAAAACTTAAAAAATCTTCTTCATTGGATGTATTGATATATACGCGGATCACTGAGCATAAAGTTTACTATATTGAGATGGGCGGGTTAGTTTTTTCTCATTTTTTTGTTCATTATTCATTCACGACCCCCTTTTTAATGGTTTTTGAACTATTTTTTCTTTCTGAATCATCGTATTTTAATATAATTTGTAAGTTTTTTGACTGAAAGATCGTTTAGTAAAATTGTTTTTATAAAAACTATCGCTTTAAAACAACTATCGTTCTTTTTTCTTTGAAAAGTCCAATTCGTGTGTTCATTGTTCGTTGATTTTTCTGAAAGACGCCAGATCCTTAATAGAGTGTAGAGTGTAGATATCCTAGGTAATAATGACTTGAGAATTTATGCTGTAGAGACGATACAGAAAGTTTTAAAAATTTTAGACTTTTCAAGATTTTTTTTTTTGAGTTGGGAATTAGACATGTCGAGAGTAACGTTAAAAACGTATGCAGTTCCTTTAACGGATATAACATGTATACAGTCCCTTTAATACCTTTAAGTGTGTGTGTTTAGGTGAGCTGGTAAATACCTATATTATCTTTACCAGCAACCACGGATATCACATATATACTGCAGTCCTTTAAATGTGTTAAACCATGTGTTTAGGTGAGCTGGCAAATACCTATATTATCTATACCAGCAACCACGGATATCACATATATACTGCAGTCCTTTAAATGTGTTAANCTTTCACGGATATAACATGTATACAGTCCCTTTAATACCTTTAAGTGTGTGTGTTTAGGTGAGCTGGTAAATACCTATATTATCTATACGAGCAACCACGGATATCTCATATATACAGTCCTTTAAATGTGTTAAACCATGTGTGTTTAGGTGAGCTGGCAAATACCTATATTATCTATACCAGCGCCCATGGATATCACATATATACAGTCCTTTTAATGTGTTAAACCATGTGTTTAGGTGAGCTGGCAAATACCTATATTATCTATACCAGCAACCACGGATATCATATATATACAGTCCTTTTAATGTGTTAAACCATGTGTTTAGGTGAGCTGGCAAATACCTATATTATCTATACCAGCGACCACGGATATCACATGGGGGAATTTGGACTCACTATTGATAAACGCCAACCATACGAGTTCGATATCAGGGTTCCTCTCTTGATCAGGTTTTTTAAAGTTTTATATTTTTTCTTAATTTTTCTACAAATATTCTGTTTTAAGATTAATTGAATATTTGTTTCAGTTTTTTATTTAGTTTTTAAAATTTTACCATTATCCAGCCCCACTTCGATTGGATAAACAAAACACATGTATCGAATATATAGATGAAGGAATATCAAGAGATGGACTATTTAACAAAAAAAGTTTAGTAACAAATTAGTTTTAAGATTTAAAAAAAAAATTAATTTTTTAAAGGATTCAGTTTAGAATTCTACAGTGTTAAATAAAATATAATTTTGAACTTGTAAACATTTCTATCTTTGAAGTTTACAAAGAAAATAAACTCAAGTGTTAATAAATTTTTTTGGGGGTTTACCCTTTATTACCATTTATACCATTTTCTAGATTTTCGAAAACCTGTTAGAAATTCTCAATTACTTTTTTCTATTTTTTTCTTTTAAGATCGGGAAAGAATACCGAGAAAATATCAAAAATCTATTTTTTGTAAAATTATATTCTTGATTTTAAAAGGATTAAAAATATGTTTTTTCCAAATTTTCATATTTTATAACCCTTTTTAAAAATACAAAAAAAAAATTATATTACATTTTTTAACATTTAGGGGTCCGAATATACCTATGAATACAACTTCTAATACACCGGCTCTTCTTATTGATCTTGGTAGGTTCTTTAAGGATTGAAATGATTAGAAAGATTAATCTGTATAATAAAGCTCTTTTCTCATATGTACAGGGTTACCCACACAGGATGAAACTGTAAAGACGACCCAAAACTCTAAAAATATGACGATTTGAAGCTTGATTTTTTGTTTCTGCATTCAAATGAGTTTTTGAATGGTTAACTAAATAATCAAGCTCAGAAATATGCCAGTTTAGGCCTACNGAAATTTTGTGATTATTATCTCTAGAAATTTACTTCTAAAATTAGGTTGACAAATAAATGCAGCAAATTATATCAAAAATCAAGACGACATTCAAGTCATCTTGCATACTGTCATGTTTCGTGGGACACCCTGTATGTTAAAATACGAAAATAGTTTGAACTTATTGATCTGCAGTTCACATAAATTTCCCTAGACGGGGATGGTTCATTTGGCGTACTGTCCTGTTTTACCTTATATAGTTAACTGTACAGCTGCTTGAAACTCGGCCTGGTACTTGAAATGAACTAGAGTTTACTTGAGCTTAAAGTTGTTTTTCCCTTTCCTAGCAATAAAGAAATTGTTAAAGTGATTTTCTCTTTTCCTTTTATAATATTTTTTGAACCTTAGATGATAATTTTAAGTGTTATATCTGTCAAATCTCTTGTTAGATTATTTTGTTAAGCCCCAACAATACTGGATATGGCTGGAATAAAACCTTCAGATGATATGGATGGAGTATCTCTTATAGCCAGGTAATTATTCAATCAGAGGTGTATATTTTTAAGATTTACCCCCGCGAAAAAAAGAAAAAAATTGATCAATAAACGGCAAGTTTTTTCGTTTGTTTTTTTACTTATAACCTAAAAATTTATTTATTTTCCTACATTTTTTTTGTGCAAACTGGCATAACATTTTTTAGAAGGGGGGGGGGATGCTTTATCGAAAAATATCAGTAATCTAAGGTATGCCTTTAAAAGTCAATTTACTCAACCTAGAATCTTTTAACCAAGCAGAACATATTACATTTCTAAAAAAAAATTAGGCTTTAACTTTAGGAAGCTCATTCATTTTCAATAGCTTTTTAAAAATGCAGGGGACATTAATTCCAAAACTAACACTTGGCCCATTTCTAACACAGAGTGTTAAATGTAAAAATCTAGCTCTAACAACAAAAAGTTTTTTAAATTTATTTTTAGAGCACTGACTGACCTTTATAAAGTAAATTAAATCAAAGACGACATTTCATATCACCAGTTGTATTTTGTTCACCTTGTGTTTATCAGCCATCTTTCATCCTCCTTATGTGTCTCTAGCTTCATAATCACATCATACTTGACATCACAGGGCAGACACTTTGCAGTATACGACTTCCAGGTCATAATTCCTTTCCAGTCTTTAGGCCCAACCTTACCATTCGTTTCTTCTAGTACGTAGTCGATAAACTCAGGGAAGGAGGGAACAGTTGCTACCTGGGTAAACATACAGGGTGTCCCACGAAACATGACAGTTGAAAGACGAATTGAAGGTCGTCCTTTGATCTTAGAAGTAGTTTGTGGCATTTATTCATAAACCTATAAATTTTAGAAGTAAAATTCTTAAGTTAATCGTCACAAAATACTTATCTTATCATTTTCAAAATGTGATCTGCAGTTTTTGTGCTTTCAACATTGACGAAGAAAAATTTCGCTCAGATTTCGACAATTTTGGTTTTATTAAAATAATTGAAATCTAAACAAAATCCTTAATATCTCGGGTCAAATTGACAGCCTAAAACTTCTGGATGTCACAAGTAAATTCAAAGATCTGAACGATTTTCAAGTCGTCTTTCTACTGTCATGTTAGTTCCGTGGGACACCCTGTAGTTATAGGA